GCCCACCCTCCACCTCTCGCCGGAGTGGAGGTTCCCCGCCCACCCTTCACCTCTCGCCGGAGTGGAGGTTCCCCGCCCATCCTTCACCGTCCTCCACCATTCACAGCGGGACCGAACGCGCGCCTCATCCAAACGGGAACGAAATGCATCGACCCAGCATCCGTTTTTAACGGGTTTTAACCCTGCCTTTCCGGTCGGGCGGGAGCGGCGGTGACAGCGAGCCGAGCGATAGTCGAGTTGCAGTGACATTGCCCTTCGGGTCGCTTAAATCGCACTTGAATTTTAAGTAGGCTCCTGTTTCGCGGATGTTAGTCGTGCGATGTTTTATGGATGGAACCATTCGTCATGTGAAAAGCATAACTGCATGGGATGAAACGGGCCGATGTTGGGGGTCGAAATGAGCCAGAGAAAGAATGTCCCCCCCCCCCTTTCCCCCGACTTTTTTCCTTAGACAATGATTCTATAGGATGATAGGCGATTTTTTTTTATTCACAGGAGACCCTCAGCTCCAGCAGTACGGCGAGGTGAACCAACTGGGCGGGGTGTTCGTGAACGGCCGTCCCCTGCCGAACCACATCCGGATGAAGATCGTGGAGTTGGCCCAGCTGGGGATCCGGCCGTGCGACATCTCCCGCCAACTGCGAGTGTCTCACGGCTGCGTGTCGAAGATCCTGGCCCGGTTCCACGAGACGGGGTCCATCCTCCCGGGGGCCATCGGAGGGTCGAAACCCCGCGTCACCACCCCCAGGGTGGTCGCGCACATCCGCGAACTCAAAGCGAAAGACCCCGGGATCTTCGCCTGGGAGATCAGAGACCGACTCCTCGCCGAGGGAGTCTGTGACAAGTTCAACGTCCCGTCCGTCTCCTCCATCTCCCGCATACTCCGGAACAAGATCGGCCCGCTTCAGGGCCATTCCGGGTCGCTGTTGGACGGAAAGCGATCCGGCGGCCCGTCTCCACCCACGGCCCTCTCCTACCCCGCCCTTTACGGATACAGCCCCATGCCATCGTCGTACGCCGCTGCCGCTTACTCCGCCGCC